CGAGAGCCAAAAGAGGCAGAAATTAAAAATGAGGACATGGAAGTACTAGAAGACGTCGGCAAAGAACCGACCGAGAAGAGCGAAGAGACACTAAAGCAAATCCTCGTCCAGGAGGGCGACGAAGAGCGCTTCTTTCTTCTCGGCTCAAGCTTAGCCAAAGAAGAGGAAAGAGAACTGGAAGATTTTCTGAGAACAAACATAGAAGTGTTCGCCTGGACACCTTACGAAATGCCTGGCATTGACCCCGAGGTCACTTGCCACAGACTAAATGTCGACAGGTCGGCAAAACCTGTGATTCAACGAGCCAGAAGACCGACGTTGATGCACGTCGAAGCAGTAGAAGAAGAAGTAGATAAACTTCTGGAGGCCAGGGCCATCTGAGAAGTTCACTACCCAACATGGTTGTCCAACACAGTAGTGGTGAAGAAGAAGAGCGGCAAATGGAGGGTTCGTGTAGACTTTACCAGCCTCAACAAAGCCTGCCCCAAAGACAGCTTTCCTCTGCCCAAGATTGACTAGCTCGTAGATGCCACTTCAGGGCATGAAAGGATGAGTTTTCTGGATGCATACAGGGGGTACCACCAGATTGCCATGTACCCTCCAGACGAGGAGAAGACCGCGTTCATCACCCCTAAAGGCCTGTACTGTTACAAGGTAATGCCTTTTGGCTTGAAAAACGCAGGAGCAACTTACCAAAGGTTAGTAACAAAGATGTTCAAGCGGTTGAAAAACGCAGGAGCAACTTACCAAAGGTTGGTAACCAAAATGTTCAAAAATCTGATTGGCCAAACAGTAGAAGTCTACATCGACAACATGGTCGTAAAGACCAAGGAACCTAAGGGCCATCTTGCCGTTCTAAAAAAGGTCTTTGATATACTCAAAACATACCGGCTCCGACTTAACGCATCAAAGTGCGCGTTTGGAGTTGGATCAGGGAAGTTTTTAGGGTATCTGGTAACAAGAAAGGGCATTGAGGCCAGCCTAGACCAAATCAAGGCCATCCTGGAGCTGAAGAGCCTGATGTCGGCAAAACAGGTTTAGATGCTTACTGGAAGGGCCGCAGCCCTAAACAGATTCATCAGTAGAAGCTTAGATAAGTGCAGACCCTTCTTCAACCTGGTGAAAAAAGCCACAGACTTTCTGTGGATAGAAGAATGCGAAGCCGCTTTAACCGACCTAAAAAAGTACTTGACCACGACTCCGGTTCTTTTCAATCCAGAACCAGGGGAAGAACAATATTTGTACTTGGCAGTTTTAGGACACGCCGTCAGTGCAGTACTAATCCGAGAAGAAAAATGGGAGCAAAAGGCTGTTTACTATGTAAGCAAAACTCTGGCCAGCGCAGAAACAAGGTATCTACCACTGGAGAAATTAATGCTAGCCTTAGTAATGGCCTCAAAGAAGTTGAACCATTACTTTCAGGTGCACAAGATTGTGGTCCTAACAGAGCATCCACTGAAGTCCTTGTTGCAACTAGGAGACTTAACAGGAAGGATAGCGAGATGGGCAGTAGCTCTGGGTCAGTATGACCTGGAGTTCAGGCCGAGAACAGCAATTAAAGGCCAAGTTTTGGCCGACTTCGTGGCAGAATTCACGCCTGAAACCATCGAACATCGGGCTCCGCTGAGCTAAGATGAGCATCGTCCCAGCAAACAAGGAGAATCCCAGCCCAAGGCAAAAGAGCAAAGGAAGGAAAAACTCAGACCCTGCAGCATCTACATCGGCGACTCATTCAGACTGTTTGTCGATGGAAGTTCAAACCGACAAGGAGCAGGGGCAGGAGTACTGCTGATATCTCCAGATGGAGAAATAATAGAACAGTCCATCCGATTGGGGTTCCAGGCCTCAACAATGAAGCGGAATACGAAGCATTAATTGCAGGACTAAAACTGGCAGCAGCAGCAGAAGCAGATGAGGTAATAGTTTTTTGTGATTCACAACTTATTGTTAACCAGTCAATAGGAGAATTTGCAGCCAGAGATGAAAGGATGTCGGCATATGCAAAAGAGGCCATCAGATTAGCAGCCCTATTTCAGAACTGCCGACTACTCCAAGTTAGCCGAGATGACAACACCCACGCCAACGCGTTGGCTAACCTGGCAAGTTCAATGCAGACTGGAAAAACAAGGACAATCATGATTGACTATATGTCGGGCCCGAGCATAGAAACACGGAGCACAGGACATGAAGCAATGTGTGTGGACATGGGGCCAAGCTGGATGGATGCAATTGTTGCATTCCTGAAAGAAGGAAAGCTGCTAGAAGATCGTAAGGAGGCACACAAGGTCAGACTGAAATCGGCAAGATTCTGTTTGACAAAAGATGGACACCTCTACAGAAGGTCCTTCACTGGACCACTTTTAAGGTGCGTACACCCTCTGCAGGTTAAAGATTTCCTATATGAAATTCATGAAGGAATTTGTGGAAGCCATGCTGGGGGCAGATCATTAGCCCACAGGGCCATTACCCAGGGGTATTGGTGGCCCTACATGCAAAAGGATGTTGAAGCCTACGTGAAGAAGTGTGAACAATGCCAAAAGTTTTTTTAATTTTTAGATACACCTAACTTAAATACACTAAAAAAGTATAATATTTTTGAAAAAAAAATGTTTGGAAAAATCACTAAATACCAAAAATATAAAAAATAATAAAAATAAAAATTCAATACATTTTTCGTATTTTTGTATATTCCTTAATTCACTTGTTGAAATTTGTAGCAATTTACAAGTCGAAGTTAAGCCGAGATTATTCATTAATTCATTTGTTGAAGTTTGTAGCAATTTACAAGTTGAAGTTAAGCCGAGATTATTCATTAATTCATTTGTTGAAGTTTGTAGCAATTTACAAGTTGAAGTTAAGCCGAGATTATTCATTAATTCATTTGTTGAAGTTTGTAGCAATTTACAAGTTGAAGTTAAGCCGAGATTATTCATTAATTCATTTGTTGAAGTTTGTAGCAATTTACAAGTTGAAGTTAAGCCGAGATTATTCATTAATTCATTTGTTGAAGTTTGTAGCAATTTACAAGTTGAAGTTAAGCCGAGATTATTCATTAATTCATTTGTTGAAGTTTGTAGCAATTTACAAGTTGAAGTTAAGCCGAGATTATTCATTAATTCATTTGTTGAAGTTTGTAGCAATTTACAAGTTGAAGTTAAGCCGAGATTATTCATTAATTCATTTGTTGAAGTTTGTAGCAATTTACAAGTTGAAGTTAAGCCGAGATTATTCATTAATTCATTTGTTGAAGTTTGTAGCAATTTACAAGTTGAAGTTAAGCCGAGATTATTCATTAATTCATTTGTTGAAGTTTGTAGCAATTTACAAGTTGAAGTTAAGCCGAGATTATTCATTAATTCATTTGTTGAAGTTTGTAGCAATTTACAAGTTGAAGTTAAGCCGAGATTATTCATTAATTCATTTGTTGAAGTTTGTAGCAATTTACAAGTTGAAGTTAAGCCGAGATTATTCATTAATTCATTTGTTGAAGTTTGTAGCAATTTACAAGTTGAAGTTAAGCCGAGATTATTCATTAATTTACTTGTTGAAATTTGTAGCAATTTACAAGTTGGAGTTAAGCCGAGATTATTCCTTAATTCACTTGTTGAAATTTGTAGCAATTTACAAGTTGGAATTAAGCTGATTCCTAATCTACACTTGTTGAAATTTGTAGCAATTTACAAGTCGAAATAAAGCCGAGGTCATAGTTTGCACACTTATTGCAATCTATAGGTTGGCCCAACCAAAGAAGATGCTTAACACTTGTTGAAATTTGTAGCAATTTACAAAGATAATGTTAAGCTGACATGTAATCATCTATTGAAATTTGCAACAATTTGCAGGTTGAGGTAAAAAGCTAAGTATATTGTTTAAACACTTGTTGAAATTTGTAGCAATTTACAAGTAGATCATTGCTTAAACACTTGTTATAACTTGAGAAAAATTTACAGTATATGTTAACACTTGTTGAAATTTGTAGCAATTTACAAGTAGGTTAGACCGAGATCATTGTTTAAATACTTGTTGAAACTTGAGACAAAGTTTGCAAAAGTTAAACATCGAGTAGTATATGTTTCATACTTGTTAAAATTTATGAAAAGTTTGCAGGTCAGTATCTTGCCGAAGTAAAAGTTTTGTAGTTATTATACCCGAGGTATGTAACCCCGAGAAGATTGCACAAGGAAGGAAGAAGTATGTAAAGCATACAAAATATTCTAAGTATAGAAACTATGCAGAAGCAATCAAGAGAAATTGAAGATTAAAGCATTCAACAAAAACAGGAGGAACATCGGCCATGTAAAGAAGCTTATATTGTCCAGGAAACAAAAAAGAGAGACATCAAAGTTGTGGTTCCTCAGCCTTAGGAGCAACTTTGGTTTGGACCCCTGCAGATTCTTGAAGAGCTACTTCGGCCGCCTTCTCCATTGCAAGTTCTGCATCAATCTCGGCAAGAGTTTCATCAATACTCTTGTGAATTTGAGGAACGTCAGACGAAGCATGCTCTGGAGTGGTTTCCTTGGCAACCCCTTCACTTACATCATCTTGAGTTAAGTCCATGATTTGCGAACTTGAAGGAAGGGATTTGGTCCCAGCAGCATCCTTAGGTTTCCTTACCAAAATTTCAGCCTCATCCTCGTCCTCACCTCCATCTTCATCCTCAGATTCAGAAGCATCCTCAGGTTGACTTGGAGGTGGAGGTGGTGGGAAGAGAAGAGGGATAGCATCGGCATTGCGGAAGGGTGAATTAGTAGGAAGATCAAGTTTCTTTATCAAGGACATCCACCCAAGGGAGAAGCCCCTGTTGCATGCCTGCCTGAGGGAGTAGAGAATGGCACCAATGACATACTCTTAGCCCGAGATCTG